ACACGATGACGACAGCGCTGGGATTTTGAACATGATTTTGTAGCCTACATTACAAAGATGGATGCCGCCGTCGAACATCACTCGTTCCAATCAGCTATCGCGTCTGTTTTAAGCGATTTGAACGTTTCCTTTTTGTTAAAAACCGAGTAAAGAACAACACTCGGAGATGTTTCTCCGCCGCTCTGCATACGTCATCTCCTTCATCGCTCGGATTGGGTTTAGGTCTATCCGCGACGTCCGTTGGTGACGCCCCTCTGGAAATGATTTGTCTATGACGCTTTGCCAGACCATAACTCAGTTACAACTGAGAATGGTCTGGTTTTAACCAGGCTACTTGTTAAGATAAAGGATAAATGAATTTTTTCACAAGTGTTTTACCCATAATTTGAATTACGCACCGCACTGTGTTGTGTTTTCGGGTTGATGGAAATGTAACGGAAAAAAGTACTAACATTATCCGTTTTTCTACTGATTTATTTTTCTTACAGTGAATAATGTTTGTATATTTGTAAGTAACAGCCGTGTTGTCAGGGTTATAAAAAAAACTCAATTAATGGCTGGTGGGAACCAACCACACATCCTTGTTTTTTTATTATATTTTATACAGTATTTTGCAATGCTTTTTTATTAGTTCAGTATAGGGCTGTCACTTTTTATTCGATATTCGAATATGCATTCGAACATGACGTGAAATATCCGTAATCGAACTATAAATAAACTAACCGGTTTTTAAAGTGCCATGTTTAGCGCGTTTGTTTTTTATTTTATTGTTTGCCATCTCATCCAGTAGCGGGCACTCTAAACGTATTGTAGCGTAAGCTCATGACCAAATCAAGCGAATAATAGCCAATAGCCACCCTGTTTTGAAAATGGAAGATAACGCACAGAACGGCCAGCCTGAGCGGATAATTTCTACCCCAACTCATCTAAAAAGTAGTGTCTGGAAATGGACAATCCGATTGATGAATCCGAACACGGTGTTTACATGAACGATACATAAAGTAATGTGGTTATATGTCACAAGATTCAAATCGGAATTGATTTTTTGACATGCGCACACTGCACGAATATGCCGCTGTTCGCGCATAACTATTCTCCTCTATTGGTTCTTTATTTGTTTTAAACAGCAGACTTAATATTTATCCGTTTCTGGTCATGATTTGGAGACGATGAGCATGATTTGCCGTGCTGCTTATATTGATCACGCAGTAAAACCCCGCGCCCAAAACCAGTCGTCTGTGGATGACAATCTGAAACAAGTACTGGTGGGACGTTGTTCTGCTCCACTTCACAGACGCTGAGTGAAATGAGATTTTTTCAATAACGGAACACTCATTTATATGACACTTTATTCAACAGGAAGAACAGCTCGCTCCGTGCGTAATACGTCATTGCACATGCGCAGTCCTTTTAGTTTCGGTTTTCAATCCGATCAAGTGTTTACATGTTCTCTCGATCGGATTACAAAAGGAGTAAACCATTGGATCGATTAAGGTGTTTACATGAAGGTTTTTTAGTCCGATTGAGCCGTCAATCCGATTATAAGGGTTCATGTAAAGACGCGCAAATACCTGTGTGTGCCAGGCACGTGTGCGCGCTCCGAGCGCGTGTTCTCCACCGCGGGGAACATCGTCAATAAAAAGAGAGCCGCACTTGATCCAGATCAAGTTGATAAATTGGTGTTTCTAGCAAACAATATTAAGAAATGAATTAGGCTAGGCTATATAGGCCTTACTCCTGCTGCTGTTTAAGTTGTCACGTTATTGTTTGTGCCGTGCTGTTCCGCTTCAGTTTTTTCCCATATGTAGCCTAATTTTGTGATTGGCTATGCATAGTGGCACTTCATATAGATTAAGTTGATAACTTGCTGTTTAAAACATTAAGTAAAAAAAAAAAAGTTCAGACAGGCCTGAGTCCTGTTTATGACTGTCAGACTGTTAATAAATGTGTGATCTCCATTACGGTGTTTTTTTTGGGGGGGGTTTTGGTGGGGGTGGGGGGTGCTCGTAGATATTCAAATATATTCGAATACATTGCTTGATATTCGATATCCGTTCGAATTAGATTTTTCTCAAAAGTGACAGCCCTAGTTCAGTATCAAATTGTATTCATCAAATATTCCTCAAACTGTTTGCTTGATGTTCTACATTTATAATGTTTTTTTTTTTCCTGTGCTGATCGTCATTTATATTTTTTTATATGATAGCCTATATTTTAACCGCATAATCCCTCAGATTTGATATGTAATATCTGCTGATCATGTATAGGAAGCACTGCATTATTTATATTAAGCTATAGAGGCTGAATGCATGCGTATCTATCATTTATAAAAATCCCCATTTCTAACTGACAAAGTTTAAACATGCAATATATTTCATAATCGTTATCAATTATATATATGATGAAGTGCATATGCATTGAAGGGCAGTGCGTTTAGGGGTGTAACGATATTTGAACCGAACCGAAAAACCGCGATACACCACCCACGATACGTATCGCGATACTCTCATGGCGTACCGAACACGCCCCGCCCCCTGCTGCCCCGCCCCGGCTCATTGCACCTCATGTGTTATGTGTACACAGCGAATACAGGGCTGTTGCCTAACCACCATTAACCACATATAATCGCAATAAGCTCAGTGTTTTGTTACTTTTGATATTAAGCAAGGTCAAGGTGTAATCTTTCAAATTATGTCTATTTGATCACGAAATTCAAACAATAAATGCCGTTTTGGCGCTCTTAGATGTGGCGTGACAGATATCACTGTATGCATGCGGCAGCGCGGAGCGCGATCATCTCTTCCTCAGTTACAGAATAAACATGAATGGACACACGAAGGCAAGGGCGTAGATTTGGTTTGAACATTGGGGGGGTTGTAATGTTTAATATAGTTAAAAAAAATTGTTCTGCATATTTTTCATGTGATCATGGTATAAATATTGGGGGGGTTATCTCCCCCCCCCCCAACCCCCCCATAAATTACGCCCCTGCACTAAGGTATGTTGAAAGATACAGTATACTTACTGAAAGGCATCATAACTCGTGCAAACACTCAGTCAGTGTTTCAACAGCGGAAATACGACAATAAAACGCTTAGTTTTTCACATAGCTTTATATTTACCTCAGGCAAATCATTCAGTGTCCACAGCTTGTTGGTTTGCTAACTCTTTCACTAAATAAATGCAATATATTAGCCTATATATTATATTTTACTTAACCTGTTTATGATATCTTGATTATTTAATGTATGTTTAAAATAGTTGTCATGAAAATAACAGCAACTGTGTAAATTATTATATAACAATAACAAATCAGAGTAAAAACATGTTAATGCAAAAATTGCCTTATGTGCAGTTTACACGTTTTCATACAATTTGTTATTTGAGTGTTGATTATTATTATATCTAAAAAAAATATCAACTGAATTTAGGCTAAAAGTCTAGGCTCTGTTGTTAAGCTTTAATGTAATGTGCAAGTAAGGGCTCTTATATAGTTTACAGCATTAGCAGATAATTTTGTTATCCTTGAGAAACGTTTACTTGTAATTGAATTAATTTAAAGACAAGGACACAATTTGTTCATTAAAGCACTGTTTAATAAAAAATAAAAGCAATTTTAGCTTTCTAACCCCCCCCCCCCCCCCCCCCCCACCCCACCCCACCGAAATGAACCGAACCGAACCGAACCGAGACGTCAAAACCGTGGGACAAACCGAACCGTTAGGTTTGTGTATCGTTACACCCCTACGTTTAATACCATAATGCTTTGCGTGATTCATTTCACATTTGAAATCAGAAATACAGGGATCAGTCCATTAATGGCTTTATCCTTCCGGTGTATTTCCAGTCTACATGGACAAGCCACGTATCAGCAAGAGTAGGATGTGTATAATCCACAGTCAGAAGGTTATAACAACTGTCATATTATGGCTTGGTCATCTCCATGGAAACAGGGGAATGTGCATTGTCTCTCCTTTATCCACCCTTTCTGGGAAACATGTTATATGAGGACTCCATATGGGCTATAAGACTGAATAAATGACATCCCATTAAAATAATGATGTGAAATGACTATTACTAAGAAGTATAGCTGTAAATATTATGTGGCTATAACAAAATCTTCCGGCTGTGTATAAATATGATCTGTGTGTGTGTACGTCAGGAAAGGCCACCCATTCCTTTCAGAAATGTTTATCTTTGGAAGTCGGGCCTTGGTATAATTGAACTGGATACAGGAGGACGGACACAGGAACAGATAAATGCAGGTCGAGTGTTCTTGAGCAATGACTGACTTTCACAGAGAGTTTGACATTTTGTTTCGGTATTGACAGAATCTGTCTGTCTGTCTCTCACATTGATGTCACTTTTGATTTGGAGACACAGTTTTCCTGAAAGGTGCATGGATACTCGAGCAAGGCAAGTAGCTTATCTCTCCATAAATTGTTAGATTGTGTTCATTTTAAAGACTGACCTTAGTAACAAGATCACATAGGCTAGATTGAAAGTGTCTGTTTGCAACACGTTAGAATTAGTGATAACACTGCATTGTCACACAGATGAGATTTTAATTTATTATTGTAGGACAAAAATGCAATTACAGGCATCCTTACACAATTGCACTTCACGTTTTGTGATAAATTACGTTTCTAATGTTCCTCATTTACAGACATTATTGAAGATTTAACCTGTCTGATTTAGCCTATCACAAAGTAATACAATTACCAAAAAATAGCTAAATCTTTAAGGATCAACTTGTACTTCAATTGTATGTTTTTGAGCTATTAAAAGAGAGCCACAACCAAAGGGTTAAGCATTTTCAGCATGACTAATGTAAATCATGATCAAATGTCTCCATAGGAAATTGGCTACTTTCATTCACAAACAGTATCTAGTGATCTAAACGAATCATTAGATGTTTACGGATTGATACTTGATCTAATTGGAATCATATGTTTGTAAAACAAAAACAAAAAATTAAGTTATGATAAAGTGTAACCGTTTTATTAAAACAGTGATGAAACGATCCGCGCGCGTTTTACGCATATGATGTGATCATCCAGAGACTCCGCGCGCTCATCACGTGCTTCAGCTCAATCCATCCAGCCGCGTCAAGCTGAACAAACTCTCACCTCTCAGGAAAGGCTTGTGAAAAACCTATGGGATCGACGTCAAAAAGGTTCAACTCTTTGGACATGTCGAGCTGAAAGCGAAAGAATCTGATGTGAGTGGAAGTGTTGGGAAACCCCTCTAGGTTGGTCCTTTCCTCGTCTCCGGGAGTCCGTGGGAAGTTTCTTTCCATGTGAAAACCACCTGACACATATGATCTGCTCCATACACACTCATACTGGACCAGCGGGGACACTTACATATCCATAGATTGTATAACAACCAGGAGAAGACGAGACCGGGACGCGGATCGGATATATAAACTGTTTGGTTTGGTGAGTAATCACAACTGCTCTTATAAGACACACGCAGGCATACGATATTTTGACCTAATTCATCTCTTGCTTACGAATTATGGAAATGCATTGCGCACAAGCCATGTCATGGTTTAAAATGCGTCTGGCGGCGCGCGTTTTAGAGGAGAAAACCAACATCTGCTCGTTAAAAGTACGTCTGCATTTGGACTGCCGTGTGTTTGTGGTGGTTGCTGGATTAGTTGGAACGATTCAGACTTATTGTGCATCATAATAACCGCACCACTGACATATTAATTATTCCAACAACCATTATTTTAGCATCCTTTAATTATGCATGCTCGTCTGGTTTCAGGAGACTAATGCGTTTTATAGCTAACATTCAGGCTTTATTAGGCTATGCAATGGATTTTATACATTCAAGTCTCAGACTGTCTGTGAGATGTTTTTCTCTCCTGTGGCCACTCGTGGGTTCGGCGTGGATTCATGTCAGCTGCTGGTTAATTAGACGCAATTGCGCACTGGTTGTCATGACCACTCATCCACATCCATGCTCCAGACTGTTTACCTTCTGCGTCTGATGTATATGTGAATGCATTAATTCTAGAGAAAGTTGTGCATTGGTTAAATATTTGAGCTGGTAACTGAAAGGCTTTGATTTCAAAATCAATATTATTTTAATGATTAAATGCAAAGTTGTTGTTTTTAATTTCTGCTTTTTGAGAAAAATACTAAATACTAAATACTAAATACTAAATACTAAATACTCATTATAGGCCTTCTTCAAAATCATTTAACTTTACAAAATCATTGAACTTTACAAAATCTAAATATTTTATGTATCAATATTTAAATGTTTATATATATATGCGTTATATTTATGCAAAGTAGTTTTGTGTATAAATGGTCACACATTTGACTGTCTAAGCCTTAAATGCTTAAATACATATGAACTTTTGTGGCGTAATGATGTTGTTGGATGCTTAGGGCTGTCAAACGATTAATCGCGATTAATCGCATCCAAAATAAAAGTTTGTGTTTACATAATATATGTGTGTGTACTGTGTATAATTATTTTTAATACATAAATACCCACACATGCATGTGTATTTATGAAATCTTTGCATGTATATACTCTGTATATAGACTGAATGTAGCCTATATATAATGTATATTTTATATAAATATAAACATTTTATATATAAATAACATATTTTTCTTAAATATATACATGTGTGCATTTATATACAAAATAATTATACACAGTACACACACATATATTATGTAAACACAAACTTTTATTTTGGATGCGATTAATCGTGATTAATCGTTTGACAGCCCTATAATATAATTATTATCAGTCAAACCAATTATCTGTCCGTCTCTATACAAAGAGCTGATTCGTGAACCATTGTGTCCTTGCTCTAGACACCTAACCTCAGAGGAACTATCCCTCCCTTTATGATGTGTAGACTCAGAAAAGCAGAGTAAGAATCTGCTAAATTACTGAAGTAAATAAGTCATCTTGTGAAGAAGAAAGCTGCAATATTTTTAAGTAAAGATGCCTGCATGCTTTATATGTCCAATGATTTATAAATTCAAAGCCGCCTCTGTAATTTATAGTTAAGTTGATGTTTTTTCATTTACTGCTCTGGCTGCGCTCAAGGACTCAAGTTCAATCAGAATATACAATCAGAGCTTGAATAGCTAAAATACCAGCCTATAAGGTTCAAGAGACTTTGGAAAGTCTTATAGATGTTGCTTATATATAATATGCAAGGTATAAAGGACTTTCTTCTGCAAAAGTTGGATCTTGGTTGGCTTCTATTTTTTTAAATCAACAATCAATAACATAAGTTGCCACTTAAATTATTGATGTAGTTGAGAGTTTTGTCATAACTTTGTCAAAAGAACCTCAATGTCTGTGTGATTCGGCTGCACAGTCACTTCGTTGCTTTATAACCAATACATCTTTTGGATCTTTCAATCTCCATGTCAGTATTTAAGAGTTAGTGCTGTTAGGGCACAGGTTTATTTATTTTTAATGCTATACCTTGTAGAATAAGAAGGAAGAACAAAGTAGTCGTGAGATGACAGTTCTGTCGACTGGCAGAAATCCTACAGAAACTATAGAGCATGCATTGCACAAACTCATTCTTTTCAGTATTTCTCTTTAATCTCAAAGTGGTAATTGAGATTAAAATGTCCCAAAGTTATATATAAGGTAAAACCGTGTGTGAGTGAATGTCTGTGGGTTTAGACATATGAGCATAGGGCATGCATTTGTTTACATGATAGCAAAGTTTGCACACCGAGTTTGAGTACTAGGTTTCATTGTACGGGTCATCAGGTATTCTGAATGCAACAATATTGGAATCATTTTACTTTTGTTGTTCCCCCAGATTTCCACAATTCAAACATGCATTTGAAACCTTTACCAGAAAATGCTTTCCACTGATAGTGGCACGTTTCTCCAGGGAGCTGATCTTTCCGCTGCTATTCTTAGAGTTGTCTCTTCAATCAGTCTATAAGAAGTGAAAGAGAATTGCATTGAGATGACTGAATTCAGAACTTTTAACGCACCGTGCCAGAGTTGAACCGTTTTCTCAAATTCTATTTAAACCTGTAAAGAGAACAGCCTATTCTTGCTTGAAAGCACCTTATGTCGGGAGAAATGGATCACACACATATGCAAACTGTGTCTCTTGCAGGGCTGCATGCATAAATGCCAAGAAACGGCATTAGAGAAACGTCACCCAAAGAAAACGAGATCTTCTTGAGGAGGATGGACCTGCCGGACAAGGAGAGACGGTCACCGGAGAACGGCCCAAGGCCCTGTTGCTCAAGCCTCAAGGTAAATCTCTTCACTTTAACACCTATATGAGCTTTATTTTCTGGTGGACTCAATTGTCACAAATAAAAGCGGCGTGTTGATGGCTGAAGGAGAAGCGCTGGTATGTTTGTGAGCTTGCAGGTCAGTCGCTTTACACGTAACAGGCTTTGAGGGCCTGAAGCACTGTGACGTCTTTGGGTCCAAACAAGATTTAGCTTCAGTTTGTGGTGGAATCTTGTTCTGAAGAGCTGAGGTCTGAGAACAGAGAAGGATTTGAGCCAGCACTCCTGATGAGATGATTATAGCTGATGATGTAAATAACGAGATAGTCACGCTCAGCAGTTCCTTTGTCATAAACACTAATGCGGCCACAGAAGGTCCATTCAGCTATGTGAACTCTCTGTATAAGACACACAGTCATGTGCACCTTTAGAAGTATTGTAAGCTTATAATGTAAAGGTTTACTCAAGATAAATTTGAAAACATACAGTGCTAATCACACACAAGCAGTTTTTTTTAGTTGTTGTGGCAAACAGGTGAATTGCTTATTTCATTTCATTACACATGAATTCAAAATCAGCCTAATTTACTTTAATAATACACATTATTAGTCTTATTGTGAATACTACGTTATGCACATTACTCCCCAAAAAAATTGGCTCCACTTCTGAAACAGCTTCAGCTGACATACATTTTTTGTCTCATTAAATATCCGGTTTACATTACAGACATAAAATGGGCTGCGAACACTATTATCTTGACTTTAATCCCCCCATGTAATGGTTTAAAAACATTTTATATAGATGAGCCTATAATTTAAAGTGCCCCAATTATGCTTTTTATCTTGTATGATATGATCTTTCATGTAGTGTGTAATATACAGTAGCTGTTTGTGAATGTAAAAGGTCTTCAAATTTTCAAACATCAAAGTGCAGATAAATAAGTATTGTCTCCCAAAAGAAATAACTCATTAACGAGTCATCAGTAATTTGAGTCTTGAGGGGGTCGCACACCGGACGAGAAGCGCAGCGCCACATCTTTAAAATTCGAACACATTATTCTCTGAGTTTACACACACCAGCGGCGCCATTCGGCGTCTGTCCGGCTCTGGACCTTGTTCAAAATCCTGCCGTGCCACAGAGCGCCATTTACATAGTTTCATATTAAATTTACATAGTATTTGTCTCAAATCGTTGTTAATGTATATACTGACTTCACCCTGTGCTGCAATATACTTTTAGTTTTACATTCATTTACAGAAATCAGCTGCTTGAATGAAAATGGCTGATGTTATCGGATTTTCAGGAGATTCTCAATTCATTCATTTAACGGACGCTTTGAGGTAAAGTGTTCACACTGCAGACTTGTCAACGATTGTATTTAAAGGGATAGTTCACTTTGAAATTAATTTTTGGTATGTTTTAGCTTACCTCAAGGGCATCCAAGATGTAGGTGTCTTTATTTCCGCAGTAGTTTCAATTTTGATATTTTTAGGTCAAAGCGTTCTTGTCTGTCAGTCATATAATGCAGGTCTATGGGGTCCACCTCAAAGAGCATGCACAGAGAAGTCCAAATTAAACATGATTTAATGACTCGTAAATGTAAGTACACATTGATGGCCTAAGACACGAAACGAGCGGTTTGTGTGAGAAAACGAACAGTATTTATATCGTTTTTACCTCTTGTAACCACAGCCACGTCCAAGTGATCTGAGGGCGCCGGCGCTTCGGTCTGTGCGTTACAAGAGGTAAAAATGATATAAATACTGTTCGTTTTCTCACACAAACCGCTCGTTTTGTGTCTCGTTTGACCTAAAAATATCAAAATTGAAACTACTGCGGAAACAAAGACACCTACATCTTGGATGCCCTTTAGGTAAGCTAAAACATATCAAACATTTATTTCAAAGTGAACTATCCCTTTAATTGTACAGTACAATCATTACATAGTACAGACATTATCTTAATTTCATAATGTCCTTAAACATAACAATATTGCTGGCCATAAACTGAGAAAGTGTGCGTCCGGTGTGTGATACCTCGAGTTGCGCTGCGCTTCTCGTCCGATGTGCGACCCCCTTTACTTCCTGCTCGAACCTATGTAGGTTTGTAACAAATTTGCATAATGCCAGTCTAGGGTTTTTATTGGCTGCCCACAAACAACATCTACTTTGCCCCGCCCTCAAACACTGCAGCTTAGACTGGAAGAGTTTGGTTCGTGTTGTCACCACTGCGATGTGAAAGCAAATACACTTTGCATAAACTTCCAAAGGATGAGATTGATATGGTAAAATCAACGCCATTGTTACTGTTCGTATTACTGTGTATCAAGTATTGAGGAAGATCTAGAGCTAAAATTCAGATATGGTAATGTAATGAAGCTATAGACCAATCACGCTGTAAGCTACAGACCAATCACAACAGACTGAGGCAGCGAGAGTCTCTGAGGACACATCTGTGCAACCATATCAATTTGAGCCAGAGTCGGACCCGGAACAAGATGACGGCCGCAAAGAAGTTCGACAATAAGGCTCGAACAGGACGTTTCTGAATGGTTGGTTAACATAATGTCACTTTGATCTATCTTTGTGTATTGGCAGGGTAGAGTAACTTAGTGAGATGTAGGGACGCTATGTGTTTACTGATGTATATGTACTCAGTTTGTAATAACACAATAACCATAATGCGTTGTTCATTATAAACGTGGGATTATGAATTATATTGAGAACGTCGTATAGAAAACATGCCGTAATGTACCCTGAGTGTAAACCTTAGCCGCATTCATCATGAAGCGTGCAAGCGATTTGCAAAGATTAATATAAAATATAGCCTACAATTTTACACTCACTTCTTCTGGAGGTGCAGCAGGGACATGAATAGTTGGTACCGATTCTTTTTTCAGGAGCAGCTTCTTAGCAAAACCAGCTTTATACTGAGTCTGACCCTCGTTTATAAAGCAGTCTGGTGAGAAAAGATTTGTGAATCGCGCAAACATGAAAGCATTGACGTTGCTCGTGGGGAATATTCCCTTCGAAAACAAAACTTCACTGCGTCTTCAGCGGTTCGGATTTAGGAACATTAAAATGACTGTGTTCGTTATTACACCCAAGAACAGAACACCACAGTCGCTTAGACGCCATTCTGCTCCAGCGTATTAACAATGACGGACTATGAGGACAGCTCGCTCAGTGCGGGTCTGTGTTGAAACGCTGCTGTCAATCAACAATCGTGGGAGGGGCGTGCGAGCTTGTGACGTCACAAAAACGAACGGCTCAATTTGAGGCAGGGGAAAACATATAAGGAGATTAAAACAAAAACACTGGATAGATTTTTATCATTATATGATGGTTGTGTACAGGCACTGCCAACACACATTTCAGTACAATCAACTTGAAAAAGTGCATGTACCATTATATGACCCCTTTAATACTAACACTTTCTTTATTACGTGTACTGCGTTAGACTAAACTGGGAAGGGTCACAGCACTTGCATATTCTTGTCCTATTGTTAGTTTAATTGCTTCTATTGCACTCCTCATTTGTAAGTCGCTTTGGATAAAAGCGTCTTCTAAATGATTAAATGTTCTGTCAATAAGAGAGAGTCCTACATGGCAGAAATCCAAGAGCTCACACACACAATCAAGTTCTGACTGTCGCCACCCTTGGGCCATTAAGGGGTTAAATGCTTTTAAAAGAGCATAACAGCAATAGCAGAAGATGTTATCAGCTGACTTGATTTGTGTATCAAACCACAGACCCTCTGGGTTTGAAAGTGTGAATGTCCAGAAAGAGCTCTTGAGCTCTCAGACTAGCCATATGAGAGCTCTCTAAAGGCTCAGCTCTTAATTAGTGACATAAAATGTTTTTTTAAACATTAAGATTTGGCACACGCGGATGAGATCCGAATTTAGGGATTGTTTTTGCTTGGGATTAAATTTGCATGAGACAATAGTGTAAAAGCTGCTTAGAATCAGATTATTTTTTCACAGGAACGAACACAATGAAAGGGCCGTTTCTAAGAAAAGTGATCATGCAGAGGTGCGGTAAATTACATCTTAGATGTGTCCTGATCATAATCCTCCAATAAACCTTTACGGAGGCCTATTCTGATTGCCAAATTCTTTGCTTTAGCCTGAGGTCTGATCTCAGAAATGATCTGCATGCTTCAGGAACGCAGAGTAATCTGATGAATGAAGGTATTGTAATTGCACCCATAGAGACCCTTATGGTAAAGCCGATTAGAGTTTTCAATGCTCTACAAGTTTTTCTCCAAAATAACACAAGAATAAAAAATTTCGTCGCATCCAGTAAAAAATGTAAGGACATGTGTGCACACAGAAAGAACAAATGCATTCTCTTATCCCGGTTTACGGTACATTGACATCTATTAGTATGCCATAAGGGTTCATCTCCCACAAAAGTGTAAACATTGAGCCTCCCAGACACCATCTGAACTTTGAGAGTGGTCTGCTTAGATCTGTCAATCACTTTCCAGCTCAACCTATAGCGAGGGTTTGGGGCATGGCTACTGTAGCAGGCGGAGTCAGAGGGTGTTTAGCCGTGAGACCATGACATGACATCTGCATTTAAACCTTCAAAGATAAAACAGCTGATGAACAAGTCAAAGCGAATGGGGCATTGCGATGCAATGCACTACAATGGGGTCATATACCATACATCACCATCATGCACCCGTTCAGAAAGACAAATGAACCAGTTTATATTGTGTCCAGTGTAGACAGCCTCAAACTGTTGTGGCAAGTCATGTCAAAAATTTGCAGATATGTTGGATGGGTTTATTATAAGCGCGACGCTCTAGACGCACACTGTCTCCGAAATCGCATACTGTATAGTAGGTACTACATTTGGTTTGAAACTTTCTTCGTGACCATTAAAAAAGTATGTTCTGTATAGTATGAATGTGTGTCGTATAAATATACTACGTTTGACATGTTGTCATGTGACATACGGCATCAGTTGCGTCGCTTCACTGCCATTAACAAATACTCTCCCATGGCCTCA